CTACGGTAATCCCCTCGTTCTTTGGTGCTGACTGTCTGGGATGAGCGAGAGGTACAATGTCAGTACCCGAGGGCCTTGGACCTATTACCGTAGTTTCTTTCAACAAGCACAAAGAGTGATCTTCGTTTAACAGCTTTTATTCCCACTTTGTGTTGCCGGTCAACCCACTCTATTTGTCACTTAATTATGAGACTTCGGCCGCAAAGCTTCAGTCTCAGTCGAAATGCTGGTGCCTAGGTTTGGTTTCTGGTTCGAAAGATCATGACAACAAGCCGAGAGCGGAGCACCAGTCCAGATGTAGTCTCCCCCAGCCGCAGCCGCTACCTAGCCGCTCTCTAACCGTTGTCTTGCCGTTCTCTCTTCGTTCTTAGCCGTTCTTCTATTTGGGGCTTTTGCCCCTTTTTAAACCGGCACCTACGTCACAGCTCTACTCATTTTTCCATCTATCATTGGTCAGCCACCTTTCCCCCCTACACTAGATCATTCTAACCCACTCTTATCTAATAACCAGCACCTTATTCGGACTTGCCATGATGTAGCTTCTCACCCTTTTGGAATTCGAACTATTCCCCCCAATACCATATATGTCTCAAGACCCTGACGTTTCCGTCCCTCTCATCTCTGTTCCACTTGTTTTTCATTAATGTATAGCCCTCGACCTACTACCCTCACCCCTGGTTACTCGTGGCCAAGTATGCTCCCGTAGTCTTCAACTATCAGAGCTGCCCGTCTCCTATATCTATATCAATGTGTTATGTTTACATCTTACTGGTTTCAACTCCTCTTCTTGACCTTTATATACAATCACGTAGGTGTCCTAATGAATTGTTAATTACTTTAATTAGTTGTGAATTACTGTACTTTTATGCCTATAATACGACCCCCGTTCTGGCGAAGAGTGTGTCCCCCACACTCTGAGATGGTGCCAATTCTTGTTATATTATCTGGTATATATTCCCTCTTATTTCTATGACCTATTGATTTAACTACCCTTTAATTATCTAAATATGTATTACGCTTTCATGCCTATAATACATGTTCTTCCAACTTCTAAATGCCTATCAAAGACTTTTGGCCTTAAACTACAAATAAACAAATTTGTGCTACTATGGGTTTATAGCCAATGTTGTTTCTCTCCATAAAAAAACAAAAAGTTTGAATCATATTTTGTTGACCCCACATTTTATATAAGATGTTTTCACGCGCGCATGCACGCACATACGCACAGATCAAATACAAGTAACGTGTTCCTAAATCCCAAATAACATTCAATTTTATAAAAAATAAAAACACAAAAAAACACCCATCCCACCCCACCCCTTGTAATAAATGACCTTCCTGGGTGATCTCCCTTGTTGCGGGATTCCAGGTCAGAATATAGGTCCCAACCTCATGTTTGGCTTGTTTAACACCACACTCAGCACTGTACACAAGTCTGTAAATAATTAAATCTAGACCAGACAATCCAGCGATAAAGATTATAAGTACCAATCCTCCCAACTGGGATACAAAGACACCAATTTAAACAAGTCACAGAGCTCGACTAGTGTTACATTGTGTGCCTCTTACAATAAGCATAGATTGGTGGGGACCTGTGTTCCTTGTGGAATGCCCAGATGAACGAGAGTGCACTAAAATAGGCGTCACATGGCGGCCAGGCTCTGTGATTGGCTGACACAGCATTCCATAGTGCCGATTGTGATCTTCTTCCTGCTTTTTACTGGTTCAGACTTGATTATTCACTCCCATTAAAATACTATTTCTGCTCGGTCCATCTGCATGTTGACCACCCCAAGTCTGCTTTGCCTTAAAAAAGCACAAAATCATTATGTAGAAAACTTTATTTTATTCAAGCTGGTACGCATCATGTATAATTGATTCACAAATATCAGTAAATTTCACCCATCACTTACATACCCAGTAATTAATACAAGCCATTTACTCCAGACATTTGAGTTCCACCTGTGAATAACATCCTTGTACTGCTACAGCTAATTACATAGATGCCTCCATTGGAGAGCTTGTCATTCAAAATATACACCTTCATCTTGTGTACTTCGTACAGAAACACCCGTCTTACATCAGATGAGTGAGTGAGTGAGTGAGTGAGTGAGTATGGTTTTACGCTGCTTTTAGCAATATTCCAGCAATAGCACGGCAGAGAACACCAGAAATCACACATTGTACCCAAGTGAGGCCTTGAACCCGTGCCTTCCGCGTGAGGAGCGAACGCTTTAACCACTAGGCTACCCCACCACCCCACGTGATACATGAACATCTGGGTCTGATCTCAGTGTGGTGCAGCGTCACCTAGTGCCTTAATCAAACATTTAAACATCGGACATACCTCTCTAAACTGACAGACCCTTTATTAGGCTTGTAAATATACTACTCAAAAGAAGTTAAGAACCTGATGATTGTTTCATATAACTATAGTTAATCTGTAAATGAACTATGAAAGAATCGGCTGGTCCTTAACTTCTTTTGAGTAGTATATTATTTTTTTTATTAACAGCCCTTAGAATTTATGGATAAAGAAAGTATGCACTTGAAAATTGGATTTGACCACATTTCAAACGCTATAAAAAAGTAACTACGGTGAAAGCAATCCCCGAAACACTGAACACGCATGGTGTAAAACACAACTATGATACGGGTACACCTATAAAGTTTCATATATCAGGAATTACAAGTTGTATCAATATGATCATGTGAGTGAGTAAGTGAGTATGGTTTTACGCCGCTTTTAGCAATATTCCAGCAATATCACGGCGGGGGACACCAGAAATGGGCTTCACACATTGTACCCATGTCGGGATTCGAACCCGGGTCTTCGGCGTGACGAGCGAACGCTTTAACCACTAGGCTACCCGACCGCCCTGATCATGTGAACAACCCTGAGAAGGAATCCAAATCAAACTCACGGAATGAAAAGAAAACAAACATATATGGTAAGTCAAGGCCACAATACATTATTGGATTTTCATCCAAATGTTCCAATAACGTTAGGCGGAGGCATTTTATGTTTTTTTCATATTATATTTCTTTAAAACAAACAGTGTAAGACACTGGTGTACATAAACTGTCAAGGGATGTGATTCACAGACAACAACAAGAATCTTGCTAAGACTAGGTGAGGTGAGGTGAAATTGGGTTTAACGTCGCGTCCAAGATTATTGCACTTATATAGCGACGTGCATGCACGTGTATGTGTGTGTGTGGCTGCTTGTACTAGTCCGGACTGATGCCGATTTATAGTGCTAGCTCACTGAGATACCATGCCGCAGTTTAACATGAATACCCCACTCAGACACAGTATACTTACTCCGAGCCGACCAGTCCTTGTTTTAGCCCCTTAATGCCGAGCGCCAGACAGGGTAACAACAAGTACAATCTTTTAACGTCTTTTTGTATGACGCGGCCCGGGATCGAACCCTGGACCTTCCGCTCTCCGGGCGGACGCTCTACCACAAGACCACGGAGGCGGTCTTTGCTAAGACTAGGGGATCATACGTACTGTAGGTTATGAAGTAGGACTACGCAACGTGGTGATTTTCTTTACCTGTAGGTACGAAGGGACAATAAAACAATGTGTGGGGTAGTTCGTATAGAGAGCATCTTCCCGAGGCAAGGGAGTTAACTTACTATAAAAGTCCAGTTTCTACCCTTGCCGAACTAGGCTGGAATTCTGAAGTTTTTTTGGCTGGACAAACGAGTCTATGCATTGTCCAATGAAAATCGTGTAACGAATTAGACATCCGGTTTGAAAACAACATGGATTTCAACTTGCAGATTTCGGTCGACTGCAGGATTCGCAAACTGTAGTGTACGCCAACTGGGCATCGACCTATTTTGCAAATCTTTTCATGTTTTTAATCAAGGTGCTCAAGTCATTTGATGCACTTCGAGGGGGAAGACCCGTTATATTACAATATAGATCTTGTATCGAACTGATTGTTTTGACTGTGCACTGCCATTTTGTATGAAGCAAATGCAAGTGATATGAGAGAGAGAATCTGATTGGTCAGTGGACGTTCATAGAAGAGGACATAACTCGTAATAGCCACTGGAGGCGATACAACCGAGCCTGGAAATTCCATCCTAGTTCGGCAAGGGAGGAAACTGGACATTTAAAGTCAGTTAACACCCTTGCCTCAGGAAGATGGTCAGTGTGGGGGTGGTGAAAATACAATAATTAATTTATTTGGCCTAAGCAGGTTTTAAAAAGAAGTAAGATTGAACCTATTTAACAAGCAATGGGCAAGCAATGAGCAAGCAATGGGCAATGATACGAGTGAGTGGGTATACTGGCCACTTGTGCAGTACTTCAGTGATATCATGGAGAAAGCTCAAGAACAAATATGGAGTGGTCACTCACGACCTGCACAACAGAAAATGTTAACATTATGAGGAACACATTAATGAGTGAATGAGTTTGGTTTAATGCCACTTTGAACAATATTTCAGTAATATCACGGAATGTCACTGGCCTGTCAGCTTAATGTGAGAGGAAAGCCAAAAGCGACACAGATCATTCATTGACTTTTACCACTTCAGATAAAAACCAATGTGTACGTATATGGTATTGACCAAACCAGATCTATATCAAGGGGAGTCTTGGAATTAAACCCACAAGCCGATCATAGCATGACTAAGGGAGGCAACTCAGCATAATGCTACACTAGCCAAACATACCACTAAATGGATGTAAAGTATAGGAATATGGTATGCAGAGGTCAGTCTTATGAAAATGTAAATTTGAAAATAAAACATTGGTGTGTTGACTGTTTTAAAAAGAATTCAGGATATGTAGAATACGAGATCAGTGAACACATGTGGAGTACGGACCTAAATTCAAAAGTCATATTTTTGTTTATTTACCATGTTAATAACATGGCAAATAAACACATTTTGCCATTAGGCCACACTTGTTTTATTTTTTGTTTCACATGCCCGCCGCCCCTACTAAAAAGCTGCCTGACTAAGAAATAAATTAAACATAAAAATATTTATTTTTATTGTGTTCTGCAAGTAATATAGACCCACTTATACAATACAAGATATATATAAATTCTGTGTCTACATCACCATCAGTGATTCAAGAGGCCAGCTGCAGTTTTAATTTCAAGGCAGAATGAGTTTCATGTGAATAAATATATGATTGACATTTACTTTTAGCTATATTTTAACCGACCTCGTGTGGAAAAGATGGAATAAACCCGTGAAACATAAAATTTAAAAAATGTGGCCTAAAGAACAAATATTTGATCAACTTAATCAATGTTAAAGAGTTCCTGTTACCATAAGTACAAAAAAATAGCACTAAGAAATAGGGCTGGAACGATACACCAACTGTGCGATCCAATACGTATCACGATACCTTACTCACAAGCATGCGCTCTTGTCTGTGGTGTGTAAGCCATCTTTTTCATAGACAGGGTGGTCTAATACCTGGCACACTGATGATTTACAGTTGGCAGTGTCAAGTATGGCACAACAAATGAAAATATGCATGTTTTTACTATTAACTTGCACAACTGATTAGTGTTAAGTGGAACTGTTAATTAGTGTTTAGTTATTAAAGCAAACATTTAAGGTCAGAATCGATTTTTTTTACTTCGTGTGCGACTGTGATTGATACTTGTATCGAGAAGTATAAAATTGCGATCCACCGATGCATTGGTGTATCGTCCCAGCACTACTAAGAAATAACCCTGGCCACAAAAACATTGTCTTGACATGCACAGGTTCTCCTACTAAGGCAAAGAAAATGTGTGATCATCTAGAAATGATTCAGTTCCCATTTGAGGTTTGCTTTTCGAGAATGAGATCCATGTATGCTACTTCTATGAGATCACTCTCCTTAATCCCTAGCTTGGTCATGAGGTCATTGGCGATCTCCTGGCCTTCGTCCAAAGCCTGTCCAGGCTTCATCTGAACCTGCAACAACGACAACGAGGAAGAAGCTGGTGACTCATGACGTTGTTACTGTGCATCACTACATCAACAAAGTAACCACATCCCCCCCTAAAGACCCGTGAAGATCCGGCTAGAGAATGGGTCTTCGGCAACCCATGCTTGCCATAAAAGGCGACTATGCTTGTCGTAAAAGGCGACTAACGGGATAAGGTGGTCAGACTCGCTGTCCTGGGTTGATGCATGTCATCATATCTCAAATGAGTTGATCAATTCTCATGATGTCAATCACTGGACTGTCTGTTCCAGACTCGATTATTTACAGACCACCGTCATATAGCTGGAATATTGCTGGATGCTGTGTTTAACAACAAACAAACAAACATTCACCCTAAAACGGTAATTCTTTCCAAGGCTAACAACCCAGGAAGGATTCTGGGATAGAATTGGTCCCCAGCATCTTATGCTTGTTGTAAAAGGGACCAATGGAGTGGGTGGACAGACTCGGTGATTGGGTTGGCTGCATCATCTACCCCAGTGGATTGATGCTCATAATTTTAATCACTGGATTGTCTAGTCCAGATTCAATTATTTACAGGCCGCCATCATAGAGCTGGAATATTGCTGAGAAAATGCTGAGTGCGGCATTAAGCAACCAAATAATCAGCAACAAAACAGAGCTAACTGCTCAAACACTTTCAGTACTATTTAGCATCCTCTTGCATCCTAACTACCTTCTAGATCAAACTTTAAAAATACAAACCCGTGATATACCAAACTCATTCATTGATTTCAAATTTAAATACATATTGCTACACAGGTAACTTTAATAATTTGATGGGAGAAAGTTTTATATGTGGTAAAATAATGGCAGATTTAATTTCTTTCTTCCTTTTGCACTTCAAATCACCAAAATAATGACGTGGTGCATTGAAGAAATCACTGGTGGACCATGGGATCAGAGTTAAAAAATAGGTCAATGTGATATTTTAGGGCTATTTTATGAGAAAATCTCACATGGTACTGAGGGCTCTCGCTAACATGCTACCTCGTTTGGGGGGATTTATAGTCCTTTCTATATCAGTATAAAGCGGAATGGACTATAGGTCCCCCAAGTGGTGGTAGGACCCCACAGCTGGGATGGTCCGGGTCCACGACCCCAGGACTTACACATCCCAGGATAATCCATCAGGGTCCACGACCCCAGGACTTACACATCCCAGGATAATCCATCAGGGTCCACGAACCCAGGACTTACACATCCCAGGATAATCCGTCCGGGTCCACGAACCCAGGACTTACACATCCCAGGATAATCCATCCGGGTCCACGAACCCAGGACTTACACATCCCAGGATAATCCGTCCGGGTCCACGAACCCAGGACTTACACATCCCAGGATAATCCATCCGGGTCCACGAACCCAGGACTTACACATCCCAGGATAATCCGTCCGGGTCCACGAACCCAGGACTTACACATCCCAGGATAATCCATCAGGGTCCACGAACCCAGGACTTACACATCCCAGGATAATCCGTCCGGGTCCACGAACCCAGGACTTACACATCCCAGGATAATCCGTCAGGGTCCACGAACCCAGGACTTACACATCCCAGGATAATCCGTCAGGATCCACGAACCAAGGACTTACACAACCCAGGATAATCCATTCGGGTCCATGAACCCAGGACTTACACATCCCAGGATAATCCGTCCGGGTCCACGAACCCAGGACTTACACATCCCAGGATAATCCATCCGGGTCCACGAACCCAGGACTTACACATCCCAGGATAATCCGTCCGGGTCCACGAACCCAGGACTTACACATCCCAGGATAATCCGTCAGGATCCACGAACCAAGGACTTACACAACCCAGGATAATCCATTCGGGTCCATGAACCCAGGACTTACACATCCCAGGATAATCCGTCAGGATCCACGAACCAAGGACTTACACAACCCAGGATAATCCATTCGGGTCCATGAACCCAGGACTTACACATCCCAGGATAATCCGTCCGGGTCCACGAACCCAGGACTTACACATCCCAGGATAATCCATCCGGGTCCACGAACCCAGGACTTACACATCCCAGGATAATCCATCCGGGTCCTCGAACCCAGGACTTACACATCCCAGGATAATCCATCAGGGTCCATGAACCCAGGACTTACACATCCCAGGGATAATCCATCAGGGTCCATGAACCCAGGAGGTACACATCCCAGGATAATCCATTCGGGTCCATGAACCCAGGACTTACACATCCCAGGATAATCCGTCCGGGTCCACGAACCCAGGACTTACACATCCCAGGATAATCCATCCGGGTCCACGAACCCAGGACTTACACATCCCAGGATAATCCATCCGGGTCCTCGAACCCAGGACTTACACATCCCAGGATAATCCATCAGGGTCCATGAACCCAGGACTTACACATCCCAGGGATAATCCATCAGGGTCCATGAACCCAGGAGGTACACATCCCAGGATAATCCATCCAGGTCCACGAACCCAGGACTTACACATCCCAGGATAATCCATCCGGGTCCACGAACCCAGGACAAATAACATATCCCACTGGACCATCCGGGTCCACGACCCAGGGCAACATGGCTCGATGCTTTGGGTTCATGGTTCATGACCTCTGCACAGTTCATGACCTCTGCATGGTTCATGACCTCTGCACGGTTCATGACCGCTGCATTATTATTCTACAGAGTCATCCCCCTATCACCAACGTAGTTCCTGTTACTAAATATTTATATGTATTACCGTGTTATGTTGATACGGCACATATATAGTGTTTTAAGTATACCCTCCGTGACGGGCAATGCAATTAAAGCTCTAAATCATGCTGTCTAGTACCCTACTCTAGGGCTGGGACGGGTAACTCGGGTACAAGGGTCGGGTGGGTACTGAGTAGGACCCAGGTACCCACAGGAACACCCAGACCAGTGGTTAATCACGTGATATATTGTTTAATGACCAAAATGATCTAAAACTCTATGGTTACACTATAAGTAACTAATGTTTACATTCCTTCTAACTTTATATGTTTGATTAAAGATAAAACTTCAGTCAACTTCAGTTTATGCATGACCAGATTGTTTTTATTCGTGTATCTAAATACATTTTGTCAGGGCTACGGTCAAACTATTCCCAGTCGGACATTTGGACCTATCTCTTGAGACCTACAGGGGGTACCCGGGTAGGGTCGGGTAATAGGGGTGTGGGTACCCGGGTAGTAAATTTGGACTCATCCCAGCCCTAACCTACTGTATTATTTAAGTTACATCTGTGCAGAATTAAGTTTGTTTTCTCCAGTTCAATCTCTGACACCAAATTTAAACTTGTGTACGAGTTCAAAAAGCGCCCCCTTTAGTTCGGGGCACTTAATCTGTGAATATAAAACTTCACAAATGAAGTGTGAATGTCTTTTTAACATCACAGTGTGCATATTCCAGCAGTATTGGCTATACCAGTGACCGATAACACGAGCACAAACCCATGCTGTGTGGGCCTCATGGCACACAATAAGCCAAATCTTCTTCCCAGAAGCCTAACTGTGTTGTTAAATCAAGACCATCATGCATTTGGTGAGTGAGTGAGTGAGTATTGTTTTACACCGCTTTTAGCAATATTCCAGCAATATCATGGTGGAGGTCACCAGAAATAGGCCAATTATGGGAATCGAACCCGGGTCTTTGGCGTGACGAGCGAACACTGTAACCACAAGGCTACTCCACTGCCCCTACATGCATTCAAAAATAATTAACAATTATAATATAATTCATTATACAAAAAAAATCATTCTTTTGTTCCCTATACATTATCAAACAGGTAAATTCCTGGGTTTTTTTCTAAATAAACCCAAGTCCCGCCAGGACTAAAATGAGTTGTCAGCAAGTATCATCTCACCTCTAACTCCATGAAGTCTCCAAGACCCTCGACACTGTCCACGTGAACCCTCGTCTGACCCACCATGTACAGATAACGCGTCTTCTTCACACTTCCCTTGATACCATATGCCATCTCTAGCGTCATCTTAAAGGTAAAACATGGCTTACACAACCAACACAACTGTGTTTTCCTGTTTTTACCCACTGCATAAATGACAAATCTTTATAAAACCTTAGTTTACCTCAGTTCTTGCTGGTTTGAAGTACATGTACTACTCACGAGTGAGTGAGTGAGTGAGTGAGTGAGTGAGTGAGTGAGTGAGTGAGTGAGTGAGTGAGTGAGTGAGTGAGTGAGTGAGTGAGTGAGTGAGTGAGTGCTTGTTTGTTTGTTTGTTTGTTTGTTGTTAATGCCACACTCAGCAATATTCCAGCTATATGACAGCGGTCTGTAAATAATCGATCTAACCCATTCAGCCACCGAGGCTTCGCTGACTTTGTGTGCTGGCGATTAGGTGCCTCACTCTGGCAGTGTGGGTTCGAAACCCCGACGGGACTCAACCCCAAAAAGTACAAGAATCTGTACTTTACTAAGAAAGTGTTATCCCAAATATAATATTCGTTACATTTGACCACTTTCTAAATGGCATTGTGTGTTCGTAAAATAATGTCGCCTAACTAAACACGTTAGAAAGGAAGAACATACAAACTGTTTGTAGCAGTAAGTCAGTATATCTAATGTGTTTACATTATAGCATGTTCCACCAGAGGGCTATGTACACAGTTGTTATAGCTAGTTGTTGTACCAGCACTGTACTGTAGATCATTGGGAGTTATTCCCCTTTAGTTAATTAAACATGGCTATAAACCAGACATGTGCTTTTGACTCACTAGAAAGTTGAACCTCCTAAACAGAAGTTCCAGAAGTCAATAATACTATTACACTGTTACCTTCAGGTTTTCTGCATCGTCAGTGACACTGACATGATAGTTGGAGACCTTTGGTCCGGTTTGATCGCTGCGTTTGTAGTAGATCAGCTGGGCCTTAGCATCCTGCCAGTCATGGAAACAGGGAATAACAAGACACTGTGACAAATCGACAAACACAAATAATGTTTTTGTGTTGTTTGTTGTTTACAGCAGTCAATATTCCAGCTACATGTCAGCTTGTAACTAAAGTTTGTTGGTTGGTTTGTTGTTTAATGCCGCACTCAGCAATATTCCAGCTACATGACGGCTGTCTGTAAATAATCGAGTCTGGACCAGACAATCCTGTGATTCATATCATGAGCATCAATCCACGCAATTGAGATCGATGACATGCATCAACCAAGTCAGCAAGCCTGACCACCCAATCCCGTTAGTCGCTTTTTACGACGAGCATAGTCACCTTTTACGGCAAGCATGGGTTACTGAAGACCTATTCTACCCCGGAATCTTCACGGGTATGTAACTAAAGCCTCGGCCAGCGGTCGGTTGTATGATCATTGTTAGGGTACAATATATACAAAACATCAACGTCAGAGCATAAGCAGTAAAAGGCAAAATAGTGATGAAAATTATATAAATGGATCACTGAAAATCAGTGATGACACCAGGTGTTCACGAAAAGGGTAAGCATGTCCTGCTCTACTGGTAACACCCGCCACTCACACAATTTGCATAAAAGAGTAACTTTGCATACAGCATACTCCTGCCATACGACAGCAGGCTATAAACAATCGAGTCTGGACCAGACAATCTGGTGATAGTAAGTCTGGACTTGACAATCAAGTGACAGGATAGAACGTTTACTGACGAAAAAAAATATGTTAACTTTTGAATTACGTCTGCTGCGTACAAGTACAGAAAAAAGACTTTAGAAGTTTGTTCCTTTTGAAACACAGCGAGGGCAGACCCATTCTGCCATAAGCGTTGCCCCCCAATCCCCATGTGCACCCCCACTCCCCCCCCCCCCCCCCGATTCCTATGTGTATCGGTTCCCATGACACGCAGGGGGAACTGGAAATGTTGCTAAAGAGTGAGTATGGATTTACGCCTCTTTATAGCAATATTCTGGTAATATCACAGTGTTTGTTTCCTTGTTGTCGCACTCAGAAATATTCCAGCTATACGATGGTGGTCTGTAAATAATCGAGTCTGGACCTGACATTCCAGTGATTGACATCATGAGCATTGATCTACACGATTGGGATACGATGACATGCATCAACCAAGTCAGCAAGTCTGGCCACCAGATCCTGTTAGTCGCCTCTTACGACAAGCTGTGTAACAGCGACCTATAGATAGTCGAACGTGGACCTGACAAACCATTGGTTATATATAAAGAGCAACGTTCCAAATATGGATTGCTGAAGAGCTATTCTCTACCCAGATCTTCACAGGGACAATATCACAGATGGGGGCACCAGAAATGGGCTTCACACACTGTACCCATAGTGGGAATCGAACTGGGTCTTCGGCGTGAAGAGTGAACGTCTTAACCACTAGGCTACCCCACCCCCCTGTGATAGGTAAGGTGAAAGGGGTTTAACATTGCGTTCATGATTACTGCACTTATATAGTGATGTGCGTGTGTGTGTCTCTCTGCTTATACTAGTCCAGACAAATGCAGGTTTTATAGTGCTAGCCCACTGAGATACCATGCCGCAGGTTAACATAGATATCCATGGATACCCTGCTGGATACTGACTGTGAGACGACCAGTCTTTGTTTTATTTCATTAATGCCGAGCGCAAGGCTGGGTAACAACAAGTGCCAGCTTTTATATCTTTCGGTATGATGCTGCTGGGGACTGGACCACCGGGGCTCTCCGGACAGACACTCACTACACTACCCCATGGAGACAATCTCTGAATGTGACAACTTTTAGCTTGAATATTTTCCTCAGTACTAAGACCTCAAGATGATTCAGCTGAAACTTGAGACGGCACGTGAACGTCAAGTACTGGGGACATGGCCAATTGTTACAATCATAAAAGAACAAGATAATTTGATTGGATGTCTGATCTTAGCACTGTATCGTACTAACAAAACTCATAACAAGGTATGTTTGTGGGTCCAGACTATTTACAATAAAACAGAGATATCATACCCTGGATAATCGAGGATGAGATATTGCTGACTTGTGTACATCATCCCAAGCCAAGGTAGTTAACTAACAGTAAAAGTCCAGTTTCCACCCTTGCCGAACTAGACTCGAATTTCTAGGCTCGATCATCGCGCCACCAGTGGCTATTACGAGTTATGTCCCTTCTATGTCCTTCCTATTGACCAATCAGATTCCACTTCACATATCACTTGCATTTGCTTCAAACAAAATGGCAGTTCCCAGTCAAGACGATCTGATCGATAATCAATATCTATATTGTAATAAAATGGGTCGTACTTCGCAAAGTGCATCAATCACGTAAGCACCTCAATTAAAAACATGAAAAGGTTTGGAAAACATCTGTCAACGTCGCGTTTGCAAATACACATGCAGTACACATGCTTTGCAAATCCTGCAATCAAGCGCATTTTACAAGGCATTTTATGAACCGGATGTCGATTTCGTTACACGATTTTGATTGGACTATGCATAGACTCATTAGGTCAGCCAAGATAGAACTCCATAATTCCAGGCTAGTTCAGCAAGGGTGGAAACTTTTATAGTCAGTTTTTAACTCCCTTGCCTCGGGAAGATAAGAGATATGATATCCTGGACAATCGAGATATTGCAGACTGGTGTAAAACCTCACTCCCTTCTTCCCTTCCTCACTCACTCACCTGACTCTGGCGCAGCTTCAGCCGACCAGCAGGTGTGACGAAGAACGTGTCCTCCTGTTTCAGCGTGGTACAACCAGCATCACTCAGTTTCTCTGCAGTTTTTCGCAGAGCTTGGATGTCAGAGATGTAAGCCTTGATCTCAACGTTGACTGGCATTGTTGACTTTGTTCTGTGGAAGTGAAAGAAGCATTGATTACAAAGTCAACCAACCAACTGAAGCCATGCACATACATCCTGGACGATGCATGGTACTATATCTCCCTTGTATTATGATTTATTACTTGCCCGTGAAGAGATCACCCGTTTAATAAACATGCAGCTGTATTACACATTGTGTAATACCAAAACGCGTGCTTCTGTACTCTCGGAACACGTTTCACGAACAGATATTGAAAGCTCTCAACATCCCTTGGCTTATTCAACGATATTGCGTGTGGAGTTGATAGATCACTGAGAGGAGCTTATGCACACTCGATGACCCCAGCAACCTTGTTGCTAGGCTGACGTCACATGGCATTGTTTCACCGATGGATCTTGCAACAAAATTCCACAAATTACGTCATCGGGTATTGTGACGTTATTGTAAACTTTGAGGTGCAAGGCCCGTTCCACAAGGCGATCTATTGTAGCGCAACGACAGTCGTAAGTCTTAGTTAAAGTATGTGAGTTGCGATAGTCTTAGCCCTACGATAATTTTGTGAATTCTAAAGGTGGACCGTTGTATGGGTATTAAATTCCTACGTTTCAACTTTTGACGTGTTTGAAGAATTATTCTGTTAAACTCAATTGGAATATGCAGTGGATCGTGTAGGTGTCAGCCTATTCATACTCAATATATAATTCAAAAAACGTTATAAATGGCAAGTAATAAATAAAATACTAAAGTCGCTCCCGTGTAAAACCAATTTTATGAAACTCGTGAATAGTTGTGGTATCTGACTCGCTTTCGCTCGTCAGTGCCACAACTATTCACTCGTTTCATAAAATTGGTATTACACGGGAGCTCGTTTAGTATTCTATATATATACCCTGGAACTACCTATTACTATAGCTTCATTTAAAGCCCTATTTGAATACCACAACACTGAAAGTAGTTGAACCATCTAATTACTCTGAGGAGCGAGATTCATTTCTTGTCTAAGGAACTGGTAACTTATTACAGGGGAAGGGGCCTGATGAGATTGGCCGACCACCAGGTGAGGTGAAATGGGGTTTTACATCCCGGGGTGGTGATGTCAGGTGAGGTGAAATGGGGTTTTACGTCAGGTGGTGATGTCAGGTGAGGTGAAATGGGGTTTTACGTCAGGTGGTGATGTCAAGTGAGGTGAAATGGGGTTTTATGTCAGGTTTCGGTGATGTCAGGTGAGGTGAAATGGGGTTTAATGTCAGGTTTTGGTGATGTCAGGTGAGGTGAAATGGGGTTTTACGTCAGGTTTCGGTGATGTCAGGTGAGGTGAAATGGGGTTTTATGACAGGTTTTGGTGATGTCAGGTGAGGTGAAATGGGGTTTTACGTCAGGTTTCAGTGATGTCAAATGAGGTTAAATGGGGTTTTACGTCAGGTTTCAGTGATGTCAGGTGAGGTGAAATGGGGTTTTACATCAGGTTTCAGTGATGTCAGGTGAGGTGAAATGGGGTTTTCCTTCATGTTTCGGTGATGGCAGGTGAGGTGAAATGGGGTTTTCCTTCATGTTTCGGTGATGTCAGGTGAGGTGAAATGGGGTTTACGTCAGGTAGTGAAGTCAGGTGAGGTGAAATGGGGTTTTAAGTCAGGTTTCTGTGATGTCAGGTGAGGTGAAATGGGGTTTTACATCAGGTGAGGTGAAATGGGTTTTAACATCACATTGTCATGTCAGGTGAGGTGAAATGGGGTTTTATGTCAGGTTTCGGCAATGTCAGATGAGGTGAAATGGGGTTTTACATCAAATGGTGGTAATGTGAAATCTAAAACTAAAAGCTATGGTGGCAAAAAGGTCCAGGGCATTTATTATTATAGAATGGAGACATAATATTTACAGTTTCCATCCGATTAAGTCAGCATTAACAGATCCATTTTGTTGGGGGCACGGGTGGCCCAGTCGTCTAAGGCGCCGCGATTCGCTGTGCAGAGTTGCGTCCCCTGGACACGCCAGAAACCTATGATTGTGAGTTCGAATCCCGGTTCACCCCTATTATGTTTCTAGGTTTGTCAGCACCATACCCGTGCTCGTGGGTTTCACAGAAGTGGTAAACGTCTAAGACCTGCATCACTTCCGGCTTTCCTCCCACATTAAGCTGACACGCCGTGATATAACTGTAATAATGTTAAAAGCGGCGTTAAACCCAACTCACTCACTCACTCACTCTATTTTGTTAGCTTGTCTATATATATTTTTATTGTTCTAATTCATCAGAGAGAAAGTGGTTGGGCAAATACAAATAATATTTTACTTCCTCTTTATAAATATGCTGATTGTTACTTTAGGACCCGGTCAGTCGAATCTGTAAACTAAGGTTGTCTGAAAGCATCACCCAAGTGAGTGAGTGAGTGAGTTTGGTTTAACACCGCTTTTAACAGTATTCCAGTTATATCACGGCGTGTCAGCTTAATGTGGGAGGAAAGCCCGAAGTGATGCAGGTCTCAGATGTTTATCACTTCGGTGAAACCCACGAGCACGGGTATGGTGCTGACAAACCTAGAAACATAATCGGGGCAAACAGGGATTCGAACCAACAATCATAGGTTTCTGGCGTGCCCAAGGGATGCAACTCTGCACAGCAAATCGCGGCCCCTTAGACGACTGGGCCACCCGTGCCCCCGCATCACCCGAGAATTAATAAGGTGTATAATTGATTAATAATGCATCCACATGTACACTGGAAAAGAGTCGCTACATATACAATGAAACTTGTTAATATAACCCATAAGGAAAAAATTATATTATATTTGCACATGTACATATTAGCAATTCTCAATGCTGATCGGTTGCAGCCTTATTACGCTACAGTGCTACATTGTTGAGAAAAATACCATATGACATCATCCATTGTTCATGACGTCACAAACTGATTACATTACGATATCGGAACAAAAGGCTGCCTTCAGTGACGTTTCTCTTTGGCGTTGACATTTCATACATTTTATATAATTTTCTTTCTCAAATTAACAATGAGTAATATAAAGAACAATCTACTCGACACTCAGAATTACGGATTATCAGTTGATCGTGAATGAATGGTGAAAGTTCCTCACCAAAGGCTTCAGATTAACGCCATTCATTCGTTGGGACAGAGAATCCATAATTCCTCGTTGCTCGTGGTTAGAGGTATTCTCTTAATCCATCTCTGTGAATGTACCCACATTAACAGCGTTCCTTTGCTACAAACCCCTGGGAAAAAGTGAAGCACCTTCCCTCTTTATTATTCCCCACCTCCATGTATCATTGGAAACCAATGCCTGAAGAAATATTGATAATGTGAGTGAGTGTAGTTTGGTTTTACGCCGCTTTTAGCAATATTCCAGCAATATCACGGCGGGGGACACCAGAAATGGGCTTCACACATTGTACCCATGTCGGGAATCGAACCCGGGTCTTCGGCGTGACGAGCGAACGCTTTAACCACTAGGCTACCCGACCCCCCCCAAATATTGATAACAAAACATAAGAATACATTCTGAAGTATTATCTTTAGTTTCAGGATATTTCTCCAAAGGGTCAACATTTTGACGTTTAAGACTGTGTACCGAGGGGATTAGGTGGCGTTGTCACTTGACAGTATGCTTTATAAACATGTATACTACTCAAAAGAAGTTAAGGAACACCTGATTCTTTCATATTGCTATAGTTAATCGGTCACATAACTATAATACATTGTAATATGAAAGAATCGCCTGTTCTTTAACTTCTTTTGAGTAGTACATTTCAATAAAACAAAAACATTTGTTCGGGTAAAGGTCTAGATAATGTACTTAGCGGCATGCATGAGACTGTGGCTGGATTCGTACAAGTCTTTGACTCAGACTTCAAGGTCACAAACCTGTTTTCAAGGACACCGTTCTGAAAGTTCAGATGAAACTTAATCAGCGAAATCATTCAAGCTTCACATTTTCCTCAACTGTCCCCTGATACCTTCCTCACTGTACAGGGCCAAGCTGCTCAGTGACAGGTCACCAGGAAGGAAACATGAACAAAACTAGGAAATTGGTTCCTGTTTTTAAAAATGCCAACACTTTTCAAAGATTGTTAGTACAATTCCGGCACTATTCAAGGATTGTTAGTACAATTCCTGTCCTTTCCAAGGATTGTTAGTACAATTCCGGCACTATTCAAGGATTGTTAGTACAATTCCAGTCCTTTCCAAGGATTGTTAGTACAATTCCTGTCCTTTCCAAGGATTGTTAGTACAATTCCAGCACTATTCAAGGATTGTTAGTACAATTCCTGTCCTTTCCAAGGATTGTTAGTACAATTCCAGCACTATTCAAGGATTGTTAGTACAATTCCAGTCCTTTCCAAGGATTGTTAGTACAATTCCAGCACTATTCAAGGATTGTTAGTACAATTCCAGTCCTTTCCAAGGATTGTTAGTACAATTCCAGCACTATTCAAGGATTGTTAGTACAATTCCTGTCCTTTCCAAGGATTGTTAGTACAATTCCAGCACTATTCAAGGATTGTTAGTACAATTCCAGTCCTTTCCAAGGATTGTTAGTACAATTCCAGCACTATTCAAGGATTGTTAGTACAATTCCTGTCCTTTCCAAGGATTGTTAGTACAATTCCAGCACTATTCAAGGATTGTTAGTACAATTCCAGTCCTTTCCAAGGATTGTTAGTACAATTCCAGCACTATTCAAGGATTGTTAGTACAATTCCTGTCCTTTCCAAGGATTGTTAGTACAATTCCAGCACTATTCAAGGATTGTTAGTACAATTCCAGTCCTTTCCAAGGATTGTTAGTACAATTCCAGCACTATTCAAGGATTGTTAGTACAATTCCTGTCCTTTCCAAGGATTGTTAGTACAATTCCAGCACTATTCAAGGATTGTTAGTACAATTCCAGCACTATTCAAGGATTGTTAGTACAATTCCAGTCCTTTCCAAGGATTGTTAGTACAATTCCAGCACTATTCAAGGATTGTTGGTACAATAGCAACACTTTACAAGGACTGTCAGTATAATTCCAGCACTTTTCAAGGACTGTTAGAACAATTCCAACACTTTTCATGGACTGTCAGTACAAGTACAGCACTTTTCATGGACCATCAGTACAATTCCAACACTTTTCAAGGACTGTTAGTACAATTCCAACACTTTTCATGGACCGTCAGTACAATTGCTGTATTTTTCAAGGACTGTCAGTACAATTCCAGCACATTTCAAGGATTGTCAGTACAATTGCAGCACTTTTCAAGAATTGTCAATACAATATTGAAGCACCTTTTAAGGTGTGTAGGTACAATTCCAGCACCTTTCAAGGACTGTCAGTACAATTCCAGCACCTTTCAAGGCCTGTCAGTACAATTCCTGTTCTTTTCAAGGAATGTCACTACAATTGCAACACATTTCAAGGATTGTCACTACAATTGCAACACATTTCAAGGAATGTCACTACAATTCCAGCACCTTTCAAGGACTGTCAGTACAATTGCAGTACTTTTCATGGTCTGTCGGTACAATTGCAATACTTTTCAAGGTCTGTCAATACAATATTGAAGCACTTTTCAAGGTCTGTCAGTACAATTGCAGTACTTCTAAAGGATTGTCAATACAATATTGAAGCACCTTTGAAGGACTGTCAGTACAATTGCAGTACTTTTCAAGGTCTGTCGGTACAATTGCAGCACCTTTAAGGTGTGTAGGTACAATTCCAGTACTTTTCAAGGACTGTCAGTACAATTCCAGCACCTTTCAAGGTCTGTCAGTACAATTGCAGTACTTTTCAAGGATTATCAATACAGTATCGAAGCACCTTTCAAGGGTTGTTACTGCAACTCAAGACTTAGTAAACTAGTAAAACGTAACTACTTTTCATTTAACAGGGTTAATTTCAAGCACTTGTCCACTTTGTATGTGCGAGGCATTGTGTATACAAATCTAAGGTACCAGGAACTGATAAACTGATTGTGAATGTGAGTGTTTGACTGACGAACTTCAATTAAACTTTGAAGGCCATCAAATGAGCCTGGGCCAAGAAGCCTTTTATTAACTATGGTCTGCCTCAGTTTGCCACACTCAGCACTTTTCCAGCTATAGAACAGTGGCCTGTAAATAATAAAGTCTGGACCAGACAGGCCAGCGATTGATATGGTGAGCAACGATCCCCGCTGTCGGAGTATGATAACACACAATCAACCAATTTAAGTGAGTGAGTGAGTGAGTGAGTATGGTTTTACGCCGCTTTTAGCAATATTCCAGCAATATCACGGCGGGGGACACCAGAAATGGGCTTCACACATTGTACCCATGTTGGGAATCGAACCCGGGTCTTCGGTGTGACGAGCGAACACTTTAACCACTAGGCTACCCGACCGCCCCCAACCAATTTAAGACACCGAGCCTGACCAAATAGGTCAGCTCTCACCACCCTTTCTTTCAGAACCTTTCATGCATCTTCCCGAGGCAAGCGAGTTAACTGACTATAAAGGTCCAGTTTCCACCCTTGCCGAACTAAGCTGGTATTATGGAGTTACATTTAGGCTGGACTAACGAGTCTATGCATAGTCCAATCACAATTGTAAACTGTCACGCAGATTTCAGTCGATTGCAGGATTTGCAAAGCATGTGCACTGCAAACTATTTGTCAACAAATATTTTCCAAATCTCTTCATGTTCTAACCAAGGTGCTTACGTGATTTGATGAACTTGGCAATGTAAGACCCATTTTATCACAATATAGATCCTGATTATCGATCAGATCGTCTTGACTGGGCGCCGCCATTTTGTTTGAAGCAAATGCAAGTTATATGAGAGGTGGAATCTGATTGGTCCGTTTGAGAGGCATTGAAGGGATGTAACTCGTAATAGCCACTGGTGGTGCTACGATCGAGCCCAGGAATTCCAGCCTAGTTCGGCAAGAGTGGAAACTGGACTTTTATAGTCAGTTAACTCACTTGCCTCGGGAAGACACCTTTCATGTTAGCTGCACTATTTAGAGATGTGGCAATGCATTTGAGAAATGCATTGTGGGTAATTAGCAGAGGTGGATCCAGAATTTTTGAACAGGGGGATGCACATAAGACCAAAATTAAGCCACAAATCTACTTGACCCGAGGACAGGGGCATGCCCAGTCGGTATTTTATCAGTTTATCGTACACTGTTCTCTATCTATATTGCAGGGATAATTCTAGGGTGGGGCCTTGTGCTTTTAGCCCCAAAATTTGAAAAAAGGACCTCATTTTCAAATACAATGGGGCATTTTAACCTTGCGCTGTATAGCCATACCTCTGGAATATTTAAAATTTTCACATAAAGGGCCCATGTCAGAAAATTCCTTGAGTGAACCCTGATATTGTGGTGCAGTTTGTTGACAATTTTTATTTCATAAAGTTCAGAAGTATACTTTGGGGGAGAAGCTATCATGGATTTATTTACGACATAGTTTATCACAAAATTTTCAAAATCAAGGTACACTTAGATATGGTCTGGTTACAAAACAATACGTCAGGGAACATTTTGATGGTAAACCGACTGAGAGTCACCGTATTAGCATTACTCGTCATGACATGCAAGTTGCATGAATACTCTATTACTCAATACCACAACCATCAGTCTTGTGGTCTCTATTGAAATTGCAAGGATCATTTAACCTATTTTTTTTATGTAGAAAGACACTCTCAAGTACATTGGCAACTTGTCAAAATCTGGTTGAAAATCTGAGGCATTTGTCCTCTGTCAGTTCCTGACTGACTCATGAATTATTATAAAAGGAAATACAGAAGGTTACACTACATTTAGTGTTATAGCCATAAACTGATGTTAGATCTTAATAGGAATGAGCCAAATGTGTCACAATTGGATTGACAGTTTTGGCTGCCATTAATGAAAGCTATTAGGCCTATCGGTCATGTGAATGACTTAATCATCCTCTTGTCTTCAGAAAAAGTTGTTAATTTGTTCGGTAACATGCAGTTTAAAAATACTATAATGGAATAAACCTGTCAATGTTTTGTAATTATTATGCAAGCAGTAAGATCTATTCTTATTGAACACCCCATGCAATCATTATAACTACATAGGTAATATCTTGAAGAGGCCTCCCACAGGTTTTACTAAATGACATCCACAGTAAGATGATATCTATGCTATGGCCGATTATGCACAATCACCTGATGCTTATTTGACGTGCCACATTCAGAAAACATTTACTAAGCCTAACTCTACTCAATATCATAATTTTAAATGTCAAAGAATACAAACTGTAAATAATGCACCTAAAATTTCCACTCTCGTGCTAAAAAAGTTCTCAGATGTATATTTCTTGATGACAGTATTCCTACGCGACCTATATTTCTTTTTCTGAATTATAAAGGCTTTTGTCGCTTTCATGATAATTGGTATTTATTAAATAACTCACCCATGTCAATATTTCAGACATACAAGGAAATAGTTGTGAAATGAATATGAATACACAAAAATAACACTGCACTATTTTTCTAGGAATTTATTGACGGTTTCGACAGCCATTTTGTGTGGTTTGTCCCGATAGGAAGCCAGGGTTCATCGTTGAAAATTACAGGTAAATCATAGAAAAAATGAATGTTATAACTCAAATACTTCCAAAATGAACCGCTGATTCGTTTTCTTTTAATGGCTCTTTGTTGGTTGAGGATTCACTCCGCCATTTTCGTGTACGGAGCCCCGTTACATACCGAAACGCAACTCTTGTCAGCGCTTTATTTGAACGGTGGGAGGCAAATAGATCTTGAAAATAATGAGTTTTGTCGGTGCAAGTTTATATGAAAATGTGATACGGATTGATTGGATCGGATGAATTGTGTTCATTAAATGATTATAGTGTCAACATTATGCATGTTCATAGTGACAATACGTTTCCGATCGAAACATTATTCTTTATCCTCGACTTGACAACGGCCGTATCTGCATACTGACAACTTTTCCGTGCAGCCTCACTAAACAAACATTTTGCAAAGTTTATATTGTGATTCACAGACGCGACTGCACACTATATTTCACAAGCTGGTAGTCTTTTGGTGGTTGTAAAGAAGGAATATGTTGCACACACTGAAAATATTGACAATAAATTGTGTATGTATTCTCCACCCTAATTGGGCCCCTTCCGCACGTAGATGTAGTGCACATATTATTCTATTTGACGTTTATGAATGTCAATTTCTGGAGCTTGAAAGTAAACAATGACGTTGTTTAGTCGTCTGTAAACCGTGTGTGAACAATAATGACTTATTTGCTGATATTTCAGTTGGTTATATTTCAACATAGATCTAGTCTTTGTTTTCTCAAATTGCAGGATGAGCTCTATATTTGGGACCGCCCGGTTCCCATCAACGGGTATGACAGCAACAGAGCTGTGTGAAAATGATGACCTGGCGACAAGTCTTCTATTGGACCCATTCCTAGGCTTTTTAACTCATAAAATGAACACAAGGTATACTACCTAGGATAGCCATTGTTAGAAATGTCACTGACTGACCTATTTATTACTGCCAAAGGAAAAGAATTCATACAAACACAATTATTTACACTGGAAACAACACCATATGGAGCAGATTGAATTTAGTTAAGGTTAAAGTGATAACAATTCACAAATGGTTGATGATTTTTACAGCAAATGATTATTGTGAATTAGTAAGTTAAAAAAATTCACAATCATGGTATCCTTAATATTTTGATTTTCCTATCTATGTCATGTCAGTATGATCATCTGTAGGTTGCTTTAGGCAAGTTGTTAATATCTCTTCCAACTAAATATAAATAAACAGCAATATTCTTCCCTCAGTATTGTACATTCAAGAAAGTACCATATTTAACAAAATGACAATTTCTTCTTGCCTGAAATAACATTTATTTAATTGTATGTTTGGCTTTCGGTTCATGACATACAATTTCTTTTGCAGACATCGTCCTCTAAAAGCTAAGGCAACATTGAAGGCTATAGTTGAAAAGTTCAAAGAGCAACAGGACTATCAACGCACATACAGGGCTCTTCTCTCAATCGATGCTGCTCGGAATTTCCTCTCGTCTAAGACTAAACAGGAATGCAATGTCTTCAAAGAACATGTGCGTACAAACATTAACGGAAGATCTGCGTTTTTTAAAAAATAACTGATGAATAAATGCATGAAAGTTAAGTAATCAGTCTTTTGAGATCTGATTTTTTAAATTATAAATATTTATAAGTATAATTGTCTCAAATTTTGCTAGTATATTACAAGAATTCTGCCTGAAAAAAGAAATGGTATGACAAAATATTTCTGGATTAAACTATTCACCTGTATTGTATATGTTGTAACATGTTTGTTGATAAACCTACAAGTACATTTACAGAATAGGCCTTCAGCAACCCATGCTTGTCGTAAGAGGCGACTAAAGAGATTGGGTGGTCAGGCTTGCCGACTTGGTCGATGCATGTCATCGTATCCCAATTGCGTGGTTCGGTGCTCATTATGTTAATTACTAGATTGTCTGGTCCAGACTTGTTTATTTACAGACCGTCGTCATATAGCTGGAATATTGCTGCGTGCGGCATTAAACAACAAACAAATGAACAGACACATGATAAACTTACAGTCGTAGTTTGCACGTTTTGTAAATTCCCCACAGGTATATCGGTACCTGCAGATGTTTGACGGGAGAGCAGGGTTTGAAATTCTGGGATGTCATCGATATTCCATGGAAGGACAAATTGGCGGCCGAATCTGTACTACCAGAAGATGGTAAACACATGTGTCTGTTATCATGCAGAAAATGGACTAGATGCTCCTGGGTAAACCACAGGGAGTTTACTTGGACCCTAGTGGGGAGTCCACGCCTCGTCCCTATTCTTACCACTAAAATGTGAATCAGCTGGTCACAATGGTGGCTGACATAGTGTGTCATCATTTCTGATTGGCTCAAGACCCCATGCATTCTTCATTTAGATTGGTCGGAAAAAGTTCGCTCATAGTTCTCTCATGGTTTCCTCAGATCCAAAAAATGTTTGAGACCACTAGCCCCAAGTTAGCTCTTCGCATCATTTTCAGTAGACCCTAGTGTTATTATTGGCTGAGCTTACAGACCGAACAGAAGTTTACTAGACTCCTGCTTTGGACTCGTGGCTAAAGTTGCAGACTGCACAGAGGTATTGTATCAGAGTAGAAGATCAGACTTTAATGAGTTTGCTCCGCAGTATGGATCGTTGCTTACTCTGGCCTTGCTAATGATTTCACTGTCCTGATAGAACTGTGATCTTGCTTAATGCTGGCAGTGATTTACCCCTAGGCCTACACAGGTGACGATATTCGGCACAAAGTCTGCAGCCAATTTCTGTACAAATCCCCAAAATGAACTTTAAAAATCCCTATTTAAGTTATGTTTATTACCAGTGATAACAAATGTTAAGGACCAATAAAGAGGAGCAAGGAGGCTTTAGTGCTTAGTTCTACACTCATCCCATCTTAAAATACTTCCTCCCAATTTAACATAATAAGAACTTTCAAAAAATGAATTGAAAATAAATCATGTTTTTTTCCCAATTTGCTGGCCAAGAGGCACTTAGTTATTAGTCCTAGATAAATCCCTGGCTTGTAAAACATGTTTCACTTTCAAACTCAGTAGTCAACAATACAATACAATGTTTCTGTTTGCAGGCGCAAGAACGATACAATCTCTATGCTGATTGGGTGTATAGCTGAGCTCACCCATGAGGAGGAGCAAGAACTATTGACCCCGGGGGTCAACGATTTCAGCGTGATGTTCTCATGTAGGAAAAACTGTGCTCAACTGTGGCTTGGTCCTGCTTCGTTCATAAACCATGACTGTCGGCCAAGTTGTAAGGTAAAGGAACTGAGATACCCCTAGTGGATGTTTGTTACGTTAAACGTTGGGTGTGAGCTCGCTACACAGTAGCATTAGTATAAGATCTTTTGTAGCACCCTTATCATGCTAATGTTAGTTTCACTGTGTTTGTAACCGTGAAGATCCGGCGTAGAATATGTCTTCAGTAACCCTTGCTTGCCGTAAAAAGGTGACTATGCTTGTCGTAAAAGGCGACTAACGGGATCGGGTGGTCAGGCTCGCTGACTTGGTTGATGCATGTCATCGATCCCAATTGCGTGGATCGATGCTCATGACATTAATCACTGGATTGTCTGGTCCAGACTCGATTATTTACAGACCGCCGACATATAGCTGGAATATTGCTGAGTGCGGCGTTAAACAACAAACCAACCAACCAACCTTATCATGCTAATATTAGGTTCATTGTGTTTGTAATCTTCTAAAATTAGTATAAGACATTTTGCACCGTCCTAATTGGAGTATAAGACATTTTGCAAAGTCCTAAAATAAGTGTAAGAAATGATTTATTTTGTCATGCTAAAAGGTATATACCTTTCCCAGAAAACATCTCTCTGAGATAAGTAGCCTAGTGGTTAAGGTGTCGGCTGGACGGACCTAAGACCCAGGTTTGATTTCCCACGTGTATGTGAGCCCATTATTGGTATCCCCTACTGTGATCTGGCTGGAATATTGCTGAAACTGGCTGCAAATAGCTGTGAAATTACTAATTCAGTGCTAAGCAGTTTTCTCATTAATTTGGTGAAAGCATCATAAAGCAGAACCTGCTAATGTCAGATGTGATCTGAGGTGAAGGCGACTATGCTTGTCGTAAGAGGTGATTAATGACATCAAGTTGTCAGGCTCGCTGACTTGGTTGATGCATGTCATCGTATTCCATTTGCGTGGATCGATGCACATGATATCAATCACTGGATTGTCTGGTCCAGACTCGATTATTTACAGTCTGCTGCCATACAGCTGGAATATTGCTGAGTGCGGCGTTAAACAACAAACAAAAAAGCAAACCTACTGGCACTGGCAAACTGAAATACTAATCAATTGGAAACAAACCCCATTCAAATATCCTCCTAGCAATTGCGTAAGCTTCTCTGATAAAAGCTCGTTTGTAAGGATTAGGTGTAAGTACAGTTATGGCAGCAGGAGATTAGTCCGGATTAAGTCAGGGGAAACATTTTAGGCATAGATTAGACACCCCCCCAGTCCAGTATTTATCAGCTCAATAGGACATGATTAGTGTGGTGTTATGTACTACTTAAAAAAAGCTAAAGAACCCCCGACTTTTATGTTACAATAGTTATATGGAAGAATCGGGTGTTCTTTAACGTTTTTTTAGTGGTATATATGATATGTGAAATCAACAATGCAACAAGTCAATGTAATGTAATGATTAGTGATGTTCTGATCAACTGAAATAATCGAAGATTTATCGAAAAACATAGACATGATTGAACGCAAAAGATTTAGACACTCTCTCAATCGTGCAATAGTTTTGTTTACTGAGCTTTATTCACCGCTTACTACTTCGTACTTGCAGTAAGAGTAAGACCAGTGTCTTTTTAGTAAAATAAATTAAGTAAATATTTATGTTTGTTAGGGTTGATCTAGTTCTACCTACTTAACTTCACATTGAAAATTGCAGCATGTTTCCAACTGATTAAGTGATCGATCGGTTAGGATGATCAATCATGATTTCACATAACAAGCAGTTCTCCACACTAGTTGTGGGTTCGAATCCCGGTTCACCCCGATTATGTTTCTAGGTTTGTCAGCACCATACCCGTGCTCGTGGGTTTCACCAAAGTGGTAAACGTCTGAGACCTGCATCACTTCGGGCTTTCCTCCCACATTAAGCTGACACGCCGCGATATAACTGGAATACTGTTAAAAGCGGCGTTAAACCCAACTCACTCACTCACTCACTCCACACTAGTTCTGACATTATGTTCCAAAGTGTTATGTGCAAAGACTGGTGTTTTCAGCAGTGCAACAACGTGACATCATATACTTAAATGACTAATCAGATTAGAGAATCACAAAACTATGCATGCATATATCAGAAAATTGTTTCAATCCTTATGGGTAATATTTAGACTGAGCTCATAGTACAACCATTGTAAGCCTCTTCTGAAGATCACTGGCCATAATAATGGATTACACTTGTAAGTTGCTGTGAGATATTTTGCGTATGTTCCTCTGGTTAAAACTACTTACTAAACGTAAGATGCGACTATGGATTTGGTTGACAGACTTAATGATTTGGTTGATCGCATGCCATCATATTCCAACGGGGTAGAGCATTATTCATAACATTAATCAGTGGGTTTTCTGGACCAGACTCCATATTTAAAGACTGCTGTCATGTATCTGAAATTCTGCTTTGTGTGGCGTTAAGGAACAAACAAAAATAAACAAACATAATTACTGTTGTTGTATCTCTGTTAAGAATCTTCCATTGGTTAATCAGGGCGGTCAGGTAGCCTGGTGGTTAAAGCGTTCGCTCATCGCACTAAAAGCCCGGGTTCGATTCCCGACATGGGCACAATATGTGAAGCCCATTTCTGGTGTCCCCTGCCGTGATATTTCTGGAATATTGCTAACAGTGGCGTAAAATCACTCATTCACTCCATTGGTTAATCTGTGCCATGTGACAAAACAATACATTTCAATGTAGACCATCCCAAATCATGTGACTGAAACTGACCTCGAATATTGACTCATCACATAATCAGTATCGACCTGTCATATGATGAATATTGACTCGTTTGCTAGAAAACAAGATGGCGTCTGGTACTAACATTTCATAGTTCGCACCTAGGTTACTGCAAGGACTAGGTTAAAGACTTCATAAACTATAAAGTGAATTTCGGTATAACAAACTGAATGATTACTCTTGATTTGGTTGGTTTGGTTGGTTTGTTGTTTAACGCCGCACTCAGCAATATTCTAGCTATATGACAGCGGTCTGTAAATAATCGAGTCTGGACCAGACAATCCAGTGATTAATATCATGAGCATCGATCCACGCAATTGGGATCGATGACAAGTATCAACCAAGTCAGCAAGCCTGACCACCCGATCCCGTTAGTCATCTTTTACGACAAGCATAGTCACCTTTTATGGCAAGTATGGGTTGCTGAAGACCTATTCTACCCCGGTGTCTTCACGGGCCTACTCTTGACGAGCTGAGGCCGAGTTCTGGTCAGACCACCTTTGGGGTCGTGTCCGAGGCTCCTTGTTTTGGCATATTGACCTCGTCAAGACCCAGACATCTAAATGTGAGGCAACCTCATGTTTCAGTTTGTGTCCACGGGCCGAGACACAGCCAGTGTGAAGGTACTGCGAGATATAGACGAGGGCGAGGAGATCACATGTTTTTATGGAGAAGATTTCTTCGGAGATGGAAACAGTCTGTGTGAATGTGAAACCTGTGAAAGGTAAGTGCTTGTTGAAGAATAAAGGATGTCGGCCTCTGGTTTCTGTGTAAAGAAATTTGATATATATGTCTGAATTTGATATAAGGGGTGTTGACTGTTGTGTCTGTGTGTTGCAGGAGACAGGCAGGTGCGTTCCGTCCAAAGTGCCCAGTGCCTAACAGTGTAGACGAAGAGGGTTACAAGCTGAGGGACACGGACGAACGGGTCAACAGGCTCAAATCCCAGCCCGAGATCAAACAGCCTCACATCAACGGTGTAGTCGCAGCTTCCACAGGTATGTCGTCCAGAGTCAAACAAACTGTCATACATTTTCACATCAATGTCTCTTGAAATAGAATCAATGTTATAAAAATGAGAACTTTTAACTCTCGGTGAAGAGGTATGACAGCCTCTCCGTAGGAGATTGCATCAGGTGAACTTCAGCCATTCAGTGTCAAGGATTCTACATTCTCAATAGGAGTGAAGAAAATGAACTTAAACAACAAGTTCAATAGGAACGGCAACACCATTGTTGTGGATGTTTTTTACACGCTGTTATTTCTGAGTGCAATGGCATCGAAAGAATATTTGTAATTCTGTGTGGGTTTCATTTGTTAAAATCAAAATTGACGAATTAAGGTCGTGAAGAAGTAAAGCTGAGTCGTTTCAGAAAGTTCACATCTGATTAGTTCAAGACGATATCATGAACATGATAAAGAGTATCAAGGAGGCTTTATTGCAAATTTTTACATCATCATCATCATCATCATCATCATTATCATCATTATTATTATTCCTAACTGTGCATTGTTCCTTTTCAGAAAACTGGGACTACCGTGCCAAAAACCTGGATTCCCATGCACACCTTTTGAAGGCAGCAGAATTGAAAAGAAGAGGGATCACAAGATACGATGCAGAAATCATCCTTGCTCAAGGTCTGTCTCTACCAGAGCCAAAAGTGGTTCTAGAGAGGGACCTGCCTTTCAAACTGAACAACAGTAATGCAGTGAAAATGGACTTGGAACTGCCGCCCACCAGAGATCTTCGGAGCAGCCCGTGTAAGAACAAACTCCGGAATAGCCAGAATATATGTAAATCATCAGTGAAGAAAATGGCAGACAGGATGCCCTCACTGAAAAACGTGAAAAAGGAGAAGGATATTTGCACCGATGAATCTCTAAATCGACTGCCACCGAAACTGCCAAAGCAGGAAATGTGTAGCCTTAACACACCATGCAATCCAAAACGACAGAGGAAGAAGAGGAGGCGGTTTTATACTCAGAGGAAGAGGTATCCTGTTAAGTCTGGGAAAGAAGCAGAAGAGGAAGAATGTGATGACGGTATTCATTGTGTGGAGTCGAGAGTGAAACTTGAGCCGGGGCTGGAAGTCGATACGAACTCAAATTGCAACTTAGACATTCCAGATGTTCGCACTATAAAACGTGAACCTGAAGACTTGCCCGAACCAGATGCTGTTTTCGAAGATGATAAAGATCCATTTCAGTTCTCAGATGATGACTCTTTACATATAGACTTAGAGCCTAGACCTGGTTTAAGAAAAAGCTCTCGTCAAACTTCTCCATCCAGTGCTGAGCACCGGAAACTTAGAAGCAAAACTGTAGATAGCAACCATTTAGCTAGTGAATGTGATGAAATCCCAGGAACCAATACCGAAAAATGTGACTTTTCTGACTTATACAACCACACCAGTACCAAAGTGCCTAGAATAGATGAGTTGGAAAATGGCAAACTGAGACCAGACACTTTTGAATTCAGTCCAAAGGGAAACCGAAATAAGAATAGGTTACCTAATCCTCCCGTCCGACAGAGTCCTCGACTGCGAGGCCGTCAGAACAGTGGTTCGTGTCCCATCATTGATGAGAAACCCATCAGTGAAAATATTTGTGTGGATTTAGTGAAGGATTTGGACGCTGCAGTGGACGAAGATGGGGATGAGGATGACGACGACGATGATGATGATGATGAGGATGATGATGAGGATGATAATGATGATGATGATGATATTGAAATGCCAGTGTTGGTGAGACAACAGACAATTGACTCAAATCACAATGTTCAGGAGTACAACGGTACTGAGAGCATTGAGGAGGAGAGTGTGGTTGAGGAGGAAGGAGAAGATGAAGAGGAAAGTGATGATGATTTCTTCGGAGGGGCAAAATCTCCATATAGGTGCGCCAAAATAGTCTCAGGAGAAGGTGCCTGGCTAGGACATTCTAGTGACCCCGAGGTGTTGGTAAAGAAACAAGTGTTATCAGACTGTGAAGAGTCGTTACGATTCTTAAACAAAGGACCCATTAATGGCAAACGGCAGCAAAGATTTTCTACCTCCAGTGCTGAGGACACAATTGAATATTCCCCGAGGAAGAAGGTGCCAAAAGTGACTATCCGTATGCGGCGGGATCCCATCCTTGAGCAGCAGCTTGCCAATCAGACTTCAGCGAGTGTTTTCTTCAAATGGAACGATGAAAGCGACTGTGAATCTCAGATAAGCCAAGGAGGACATAATGGAACCTCAGTGTTTGACCCTCCGCCTTTGGAAAAAGTCCATTCCAGTGCCTGTCAGGTGCCCTCTTCGTTCGAAACTAGTCAGTTTTACTCGAATTCCCTGAAGGACAAGAACCCATACAGGCCGAAAAAACTGAGACTCAAATTTGGGAACAGTTCGATAGACATCCATATACCTCCGTGCAAAGAGCTGTGATCAATTCAACTCAGAAAATATTTTTATTATGCTTTGTGTTGACATTGTTTGTTCCGAATTGGTTAAATATGTGATACTAATTAAATTTCATCGTTGTCCCGGTTACCATGGGTAGGTGTACAAGGTCAGGGCCACGGGCAGAGAGCAGGGTTTTGTCTCTCATTAACATACATTATTATCCATCTTCAAGCGGCGGGAATTACGCTTGCTTGATTGCGATACAGTACATGGTTCGGGGATGCCATGGAACTTTAGGGAATCTTCATGACAAATTCAACTTTTGGGGGTCCAAACTGATTTTTTTTAAGATTCATTGGTATTTACTGACAAGGGATAACCTTTGACAGTCAGTGGGTCAGTTTGTATCTCAAAAAACACCTGTAGGTGTTCTGACAGAAATTCGAGAAATGTTCCCCTCTACCTCATGGCAACAAGACTGGGGAGTGTGGATAAGATGGCTGCTAATATGAATAGTACTGGGATGACTGACCAACCAGGCTAGCCGACTTGCAGCTGTCATCTGTATGTACAGGTTCCGTGGGTCGGGTGAGAGAGCTGGGAATTTTGTTAGAGACAAATATTTCCTTAGGTCACTGCTTCATGACAGACAATGTTTGTTTTTTTCTATGGAGACAATTTTTTGAACCCATAATTCATTTTTTTCCATCAGGACGTCAAGTGAGCAATCGTGGCAATATTATTGTTTCTAGTATTTTCAGAAATTCTTTATCATCACACCCAAGCATGCCACTTAAACATCCATCACAGTAGCGTGCTGCTCAGCTGTAGCAGGGTGTAGCTGGCCCATATGTCAAGGCCACTGCAATTTGTTGTGTAGAGCTGTTTCCCTTAGGTGTGGCCCAAAAAATCATTGTGGTTTAAATTCCCAGATTCACCCTGATTTCGTCGCTAGGTTTGTCAGCACCATACCCGTGCTCGTGGGTTTCTCAAATTTGGTAAACGTCAAGATCTGCATCACTTCAGGCTTTCCTCCAACACCAAGCTGACATGTTGTCATACAACTGAAATACTGTTCAAAGCAGCGTTACAGCAAACCCACTCACTGACACCTGTATTCCTATAGTATGTGCAGGCAGATAGCAGCCATAGAACCAAGACAATCAGAAACACTGGATTTTCAAGAATTTTTACTTAAATTCCCACTTCCTTCTTCTGTAGGGGACACGGGTGGCCCAGTCGTCTAAGGTGCCTCAATTTGCTTTGCAGAGTTGCGTCCCTTAGGCACGCCAGAAACCTATGATTGTGGGTTCAAATCCCGGTTCACCCCGATTATGTTTCTAGGTTTGTCAGCACCATACCCGTGCTCGTGGGTTTCACCGAAGTGGTAAACGTCTGAGACCTACATCACTTCGGGCTTTTCTCCCACATTAAGCTGACACGCCGCGATATAACTGTAATACTGTTAAAAGCGGCGTTAAACCCAACTCACTCACTCACTCACTCCTTTTTCTGTATCACTATGTTGCTGACATTAAACTCTGGATATGGTATCCAGTACAGTATGGTATACTGTGATCAGTGTCCAGTAAACTGAGATTGTATTTCATATTGAAATATGACCCAAAAGTTGACCCGAGTTTTTTTCTGTGAAAAACTTTCTATAAGTTGATGCAGTGGGGTAGCCTGGTGGTTAAACCGTTCACACATCCTGCTGGAGGGCCAGGTTTGGTTCCCCATATAATTGATTTGTGCTAAGAGCGGTGTGAAAACTTCATCTACGGTTTGGTGTCTAAAAGACAGAATAAAAGATAGTCATGGTTAAGATTGTGCCAGTTTAATAAGTATGTCGCTTTATTCTCATATTAATCACACTGGGTCCCTTTCTACGCACTATGACGATCATAACTCCTATAGGTTTTACATAGACTTACGACAGTCGTAGCACTAAGCTTATTTGTGGGCCCCTGGGTCCATAAAATTTTCTGCAAGGGGCTATTCCACCTCATTTTTAGTTGTGCATACTTCATGACCATATTGAAAACAATAGAAAGAACACCAGGAAAGAAAGCATCTGTGTATTTGAAAATCCTCACTTGACATGTTTTTTTTAGGTGTAAGGGGGCAGGTTGATTAAAACATTGGGTATGAGGGTTTCTGTGATCCCTGAGATATTATCTGGTCCACAAGAAAACTCAGCACTAAGAAACTCCCATGCTGGTACCAATATTGACTTGTGGCACCCTAGTGCAAAGATAGCTTGTGAAACACTGTGTTGAGCCGTAAGGAGACAAATCTAGAATCTTTCAGTGTCACTGACTTTCACATTCAAGTGTCTTTGAGCCTGTATGCAGATATGCAGAGATAGTGAGTGAGTATGGTTTTTACGCCGCTTTTAGCAATATTCCGGCAATATCACGGCGGGGGACACCACAAATGGGCTTCACACATTGTACCCATGTCGGGAATCGAACCCGGGTCTTCAGCGTGACGAGCGAACGCTTTAACCACTAGGCTACCCGACCGCCCCTATGCAGAGATAAATAACTATGATATTGGAAATTCTGGCAAATAACATTGCCTGTGGTTTTGATGAACTGTCTTGTCACTGCTGTTGCTGTATTTGTGCAAGCCAAGCCAGCCATATCATACTCCATGGCAGGAACTTATCACAGGCAGTGTCACATAGCGTTAGCTTGTCAAGTTTACAGATGTTAAGAGTTTAGGCAATGCAGTGTAAAAGATGATTTATTTTTGTCAAAAGAATATAGTCATGCTGATGGGGTTTCGTTTTTTAGATTATTAATGAGTTATATCTGATGTTTCTAATTGCCTCAATTGGGGATAAGTATCTTGGCTGTATGTTGGAAGGGTGGGTGATTCTGTATAATTAACTGGGAACGTCCCAGCATAAAGCCCAGGTGCATGCAAGATTTGTCCACCAACTGTTGCCACAAGTTCAGGGTGCCGTTGTACAAAACGATCTTGGTGATCATAACTCCCATACCTTAACTTGACGTTCGACAGTGGTAGTGTTGAGGCTGTTTTGTACAACGGCACCCAGTTCTCCAGGAACAACAATCTACTCTGTATCTGCAGAGGCATCTTCCTTAGAGGCTGTGGGGGCACGGGTGGCCCAGTCGTCTAAGGCGCCTTGAGTCCCTTGGGCACACCAGAAACCTATGATTGTGGGTTCGAATCCCAGTTCGCCCCGATTATGTTTCTAGGTTTGTCAGCACTATACCTGTGTTCGTGGGTTTCAACGAAGTGGTAAACGTCTGAGACCTGCATCACTTCGGGCTTTCCTCCCTCATTAAGTTGACACGCCGCGATATAACTGGAATGCTGTTTCAGTGTTAAAAGAGGCGTTAAACCCAACTCACTCACTCACTCCTTAGAGGCTGTGGATTGGCAGGAACAGGCTCAGTGTATTGGATGGACAAGATGGAGACCAGCTTCACCCTGATGGTTGAGGATGTTTCAGTGCAATTCTGTTTCTATAGGGCATTACCATTCTTTCATTTATCACCATGACTTCTTTTGTGGTCAAGTTAATTTGTTGATGAAATAGCACAAATATCTGAAACTATCTGTATGACTGTTCACATTTCGGTTGTGAATGTAAGCTCTTGGGTGTTTATTGGTATTTTGTACATTGTCATTCATACTAATTGGATCAGTCTGCAATGTTAAAGCCAAAATATCAAGTCAGGTATTGATGTGGTCATTCAGAAACATATTCACATATTGAAATGTTTGTAATTTCTTTTGGAAAATTGTAATGAATATTCTGATCTTCAAATGTGTTTGGTTACAAAGGGAGATAACTCCCAGACAAACTGTTAAGGAAATGGAGTTATATTTTCTTGCTTCACTTGACGTGTTTAAATGCTGTCAGAGTGCTACTCATCTCATTTTTGTCATATTTAAAATTCTTATTTGGTCACCTAAGATTGCAGAATTTTAGTTTTAACCTATTTATTTATAGATGAGTAATTTGTATAGTTTGATTTAGTTTGTTTCAACAATATTTAAGCATCAAACTATATGTATGTTAATTGTGTTCATTGTGTTGATAATGTTTCCAAATGGATTTTTACTTTGGATCCTGAAAACTGGTTGAATATATTTAATAAGTGACACTAGTTCATATGCATGGGACATTGTTAGACTTTCCCAAACAACAGTTTTGTACGCACACATATACCTGTAAAGTAACAGGGAAAACCTCAAGGCTAAGAAACATAGTCATTTATTGCCAAATTATAGACAACGTGAAAATGTACACCCTTAAAGTACACTCCTCATTAGGAGCATCGTCACCAAAACGTTGTCAGGTGTTTTTGTGATTATTTTCTATTATGAATGTTTTATAGTAGACCAAAATGTAAGATAGCCAGGCAGTCTCTCATCACCAGTTACTAAGCCTTAACAAATTGTTATTTAGTTCCTACATGTATACAGGGGTCGATTTAACAGCTGGCCCATTGGCCTGTGGCTAGTTAAAATTACGAAGGACTTGCTGAAATGTAAAGTAGCTGGGCCCCGTTCCACAAAGCGATCTAAGCACTAAGGTGATCGTAAGTCCCATACTTTAACATAGGTTTACGATCATCTTAGCGCTAAGATCGCTTTGAGGAACGGGGCCCTGGCCTGTCTGACTAGTCAGAATTTCACAACTTCTCCATGTATGTTTGGATTTTTTAAGTGGACACTGCTCTTGAATCATGTAATTTCGATCAGTAAATATATACAGGAGGGATAAATCAGGTGAATGGTTAACTCAGAGAAAGAAATGTCATCATCTGGGTAGAATGACAACCAGCCACCATTTTGTAATGTTGGGTACAACATCTGTATTTGTTCATAATCACCACGAAATGAGGCAAATGGAAGCCCAGATTATATCTCAGAGCGCAGGAAAGGGTGTTTTCAGGGTGAGGAGTCGTAAGCATATTCAGCTGCTAGGTCGCTGCACGGATTCAGGTTTGGCCGCTTTGCAGCCTCCATTTAGTTATAGGCCAGTTTGGGGGAACGGGTGGCCCAGTCGTCTAAGGCGTCGCGATTCGCTGTGCAGAGTTGCATCCCTTGGGCACGCCAGAAACCTATGATCGTGGGTTCGAATCCCGGTTCGCCCTGGTTATGTTTCTAGGTATGTCAGCACCACACCTGTGCTCGTTGGTTTCACTGAAGTGGTTCGCCGTGAATGGCTGGAAAATTGCTGGTGCGGCGTAAAACAATATTCATTCATTCATTCACTGAAGTGGTAAACGTCTGGGGCCTGCATCACTTCGCGCTTTCCTCCCACATTAAGCTGACACACTGTGATATAACTGGAATACTGTTAAAAGCGGTGTTAAACCCAATTCACTCACTATAGGCCAGTTAGTTTGGAGAAGGGTCAGTAACTTTTTAAAGGAGCAAGCCCTACTGGCTTCATACAAATCTGTTGTTAAGTCTACCCCTGGTATAATGTTTGGAAATGTTGGAATTGTTTCAATTTGTGATGGTTTATCTGTTTTTGTATTTTTTGTGTTATTTATGTTTGTAGGTTTGTATTTCATGGTTTAAAAGGAGTAATGAATTGCATGGTAACATGATTTAAATATCCCAGGCTAATGTTAGAAATGCCTTCAACTGGTCCTTCATAGTATGACACAAAATGTCTGCATGAAGAACCATTCACTCATTATCACCTCATTTATACACCCAAAGATTTGTTAGATATGCTCACTTGGGGCTTGTATTCAAGTTCATATGGCCCTTGATGTAGCTTTATTAGCTCAATCCTAACCTAGGAGCTCTCATTGTGTAACACCCAGAGGCTCAATGCAGTTTGATGCAAGAGAAGTTGTCACTTGTTTGATTGATAGGTGTCACTTTTGATTGACAGGTAGTGATTGAACTGAGCATGGCACCTTCTTTCAGAATTGGATATGCTCCGGCTCTTGTGGGATGTAAATGTTTCCACTTCAGAGGTCTCTTGAGAGAGGTTTGTAATGTATTTATTGTTAGTGGTTAACACGGGATGAAATTCCAATTTTGTCCTATTAAGAAGTTCTGCAGACAAGTCTAGCCTGTTTATCTCTCCACCAAGTCAGTACATTTTGTTATTTTTTGTGTAACATTTCAAGTCATCAATCTTCTACACAATGACTTTGTTGAGGTAAGGTTGTAAATTTTATAAGAAAAATATTCATCTCCATTAGGACATGTACATCTGTGAAGTGCTAGATACCTCTGAATTTCAATGTCTGTATACGCAACAATGAAATGCTGGTTATTACAGCTAACTAGAGCTAGTTAGCAACACTGCTAGTTATGTCGTTATGGCAGTG